AATTGCAAATTTAGAAATAATGCGGGAAAGTATGTGCTGTTCTAGCCCCCACTATTTTTTTGGTGCAAAGACAGACATGTTGCATGCAAGCATTCATTAATTAATAAAATTAACACAATAAAAACATAAGAGAAAAAAAACAAACGCTATTTTATTCTATTGAAACACTTTTTATGTAAGTACAAGTATACCGTGTTAGTTCTCCAAAACTTCTTTCTCCTAAGAGTGAAGGAGCATGCTGATCCTTAGCACTATTACATATTGTTATAATCATTATTGTTGTTACCTCAAGATATAGAACATGAATACCTGCATTAACAACTCTAATTGTAAATGCAACATAGAAAAATATTATTATTATATTAATATAAAATGGGGGAGGCTTAGCATTATATTACAGGAAAGACTAATGATAAGAGTTTGTAATGGAATATAATTATCTTCACGTATTTTTGGATACTCATCTCAAATTTTACAAGCACATTAATGTGGTATTTGATAAAATGAAAAGAATATCAGGATGCATTTATACATTAAGGCCATTTGTGAATAAAAAAGTGCTCAGAATATTGTACAAAGCATTAGTTGAATCTATCGTGCAACACGGGGTATAAATAAAAGCCAAATGCATCTAAATAAATTAAACTCTTTACAGTTCAGAATACTAAAAATTGTTGAACAGAATATAGAATTGTATGAGAAAAAACTGTTAGCAAGTAATGAAACATTAATTGCATCAGGTTTTAACAAATATCTTCACTTAATTCAACATTGTAGTGACAATACCTTTAGGCTTTCACCTACAGGTGAATACCAGGTTATATTATAAAATGTAACCACAGTGGCTGCCACAGTGCCTTTGGGAAGAAAGAAGATAAATAATAAATTGGAATGTAAAATGTGTAAATTGATAGTGTTTAACATATATTGTAAATGTATGGCTTTGACTAAATTGTAATGGTATTACTGAACTAATATGTGAAATATTGTAGAGAACCTGATGTTAAGTGCTTGGACTTATCAGGAACCAAGAACTATTTGTTGAAGTAAAAATTCAATTAAATCAATTATTATTATTATGAAGAGTACATTAAGAACTCAAATTAGCCTCAGATACAAGCGAATCTTGGAACTAGATCCTTAAGAATCGTGCTCACAAGACTCCAGCTTTCTGATTCATCATGGGCACAATGTGGATCTCAGATTGAAAACTTGTCCATCTTCAGTGTAAAAACACCATTCAGTTGCACATTATCATCATAGACACCACATTCAAATCTCTCTTAAAATCAATAATAAAAGTAATATTTATATATTATTAATATATTTATATGATTATGTAGTATTTGTTTTGTAATTGATAATAAGCTAGGTGATGTTACTTTTGCTCATTTTTGACAATGAGCTGATTCCAAGATTTTTCGAACCCATAATTTGACAATTTTCTCAATATCTTGTTTGGTGAATTTGTGACCTATTTTGAGAGTTGGTCTAAACATCCTTGTATTTACAAAGTGAGGCTAAGGGTTGTAACTGCTCTTCTTTTTCAAAAGGATGAATTTTTTGGGGGGCCGTTGACAATTTTTCTTTTCCCTACATTCAATTTTTCAATGCTGAAATGCATCTGGATACCCTTACTGAACATACCAGTGATATTTAATAAGTCTGTTAATTCTAATTCAGTGCTTTCAATAATTTTAGGTCACCTACAGGTGACACATCATATCACCAGCACATAGTTGATGGTTGAAAAAGGTTTTCTCTTATTCTTCATTTGGAAACACAGTCCTGATTAATTCAATATATTAGTCAGAGGATTAATTGCAAGAAAAAAATGTGAATCACCTTGAAACATATTAGTAAGAAGGGGGAAACTTTGCTCTCAGTGTCTTTGTCAGTGTAGCTCAATAAATTGAATATGTTTCAAAATATTTAATAAAATTTGCTTGAAAATGAATAGTTCCTTTTTGCTTTTAGAAATATGATTATTCTACACTATAGTAACCCAACACTATTGAGAGCATAGAAAAAAGGTTGGAAGAATTCTCTAATTTAAGTTTAATCCATATCATATGGAAGGATTATTTGTTTTCATACAAATGAACACATGATAATTTGATTGATTTGACTGCCAACAGAACAACTAATTTGAATTCAACATAATAAATTGAAATTACTTTTTCAATGTAATATTTTTTTTCCTTTTCTTTTCAAATTCATAATTCAAATAGCTTAATTTCTTTTTCCGATACTTTCACTGCAAAGCAACTTCACCATTAAGAAAATAGGTTAAAGTAGAAAATACAGTACACCGTTACATAACAGCAATGGGGGGGAGGGAATAGAAAGGGAGATGGGAGATGATGCGTGTCTCGTAATGTAATTGATGTAAATTTACGAAAAACATTAATGTTAAATAATAAAGTTTACATATTCTGTGCTTTGAGAATTTGATAAATTCACTTCAATAAATTAGCTTGCAGTTCTACAAGATTATATATATTTCACTCACTTCACACACACACAATTTCACGGGCATTTTTATGCTAAATTAATTATTTTGTTGCATAACTGATGTTTCACTACATATTTCAAAGCTGAGAACAAGACTTGGGCCTTCTATCAACATAAAACATTCTAGAGTCTCTGCAACATATAAATACCACCATTTCGTGTGAAAATCTTTTTATGAAAACACAGCACAAATCTGTTGCATAGATATTATCGATATCCTTCATTAGTTTCGGAAATGCAATTGGTGTGACACATTTAAAATCCAAATCGATCTAGTTCAGTTACCTTTCACGAAATGAAAACCCATTTAAAAATGTCCATAGCACACACACACACACACAGAAACCAGCAGATACAGCACTTCCACAAACCGCTGAAAGCATTCCCTCAAATCCTCTGAACTTTCCCTCCACTAGGTTTCCCCTTTGCCTGAGCTACCCAAACTGCCAGTGTAAACAATTTCCTAAAGTAATTCTGGATTCTCTACTTCCACAAAATGTTAATAAAAAACATAGTTCCAATGCAAATTAACAGCTAAAAGATATGTTATCCGCACATGAACAGCAAGAAAAATTAGGGAGAGGAAAAGTGACTGACCATTGTCTGTGGAATTTAGTGAATGCAAGTCATTTTTGACAAAAAATTGTAAATTTTGTATTCTGGATACATACTATAACAAGCACAGACCACCCCCAGTTCATCCAGAATAGTAGAGTCAATTTATGCAAATTTATAATATAACCCGTTTATACAAAAATGACAAATGCAAATAGTAACTATTGAAACTGTAGAAAACATTAGAAAATAAGTAATTAGCATGTTATATTTTCTGTACCCCTCAGATGGCTCGTGAACAAGTGTGCTAGTTTTCCATGGTGTGATCCATGGTTGGGGGAAAAAATAGCATTAGCAGCAGTAGCATTTCATTTCATTTGTTCCAGTTTCTAAAAGTTTGACTAAAGACAAGCTCAGGCAGGCCATGTATGCTACATATGGTGAAGGGATTATGTCACGCATGCCACATATCACTATTACAGGCATGGATAATACATAAAAAGAGGGCCCACATCTGGCACAATTGATACCTGGCAACAGTCGGTCGCAGATATTTTATTTGTTACATTGACCGGTGAAATACTCTCAAAAAATACTTTAAATGAAAGCAAAATCTCCATTTTTTCAAGATAAGAAAAAAATTGGTTCTCACCAGTCTAATTTCAGAATAAAAGAAGTTTTTATTAGTACAGGCTTTTATGGAAAAATTTTTGCAGGCAGAGATTTTCTTAACTTATTGAACTAGTTTTACGGTGAAAGTGCTTTTTTCTTTTATTCAAGAAGCAGCAAATTTTTTTAGGAGTCAGATGGTATTAATTACCTCACCAGGCTGTTTAAATAATAGCTCACTTGGTTAATACCTCACCAGGTATTCTGATAAGTAATTGATAAATAAAAGCTGCAAACTTCATCACAACTGGAAGTACCGATTCTCGTCCTAGAAGTAATGCTGAACAAATCATGCAATTATCACCATTGTTTCTCTTGGGGTACAAAATAAAACCACCTTAACAAACTATTTAGCAATAATTCACTTTCAAAGTAAACAATGTGAAGTAATATTCAATGCAGAAAAAGAAGTATGGGTGCCAAAGTCAACCTAACTTATATCAGGTATTGCCAACAAATGAAAATTAAAAATCATACGAAAGTCAAAATTTATTAGTAATCAGTGTATTTCTAGACTGACTATTCAATACTTCCCTTTTCGCTATTTACAATTATTTAAATGCTCTGTTCATGGTCACAAGCAGCTATTCTTAATCTGTAGATGTAGTAAATGTATTTGACTAGTGACTGTCACAAACATACCACCTTAATCCAACACCAAAAATACCAAATACACATATACATATTTTCTGTACCAATAAAATTATTCTTGCTCAGTAATTCAGAAAAAACACTTAACTACTCCTGTACAAAATGTAGATGATCTCCAGCACCCTTGCGGCTAGTCTTCTAAGTCGCAACTGCCAACAGGAAAGGGGACTGTCTAGCCTGGCATAACAGGATGCTTCCCAGGAGAGTCGAAGGGCATGAAACTGAGGATAGTAACCATCTCCGACAACACACTGATGTCAATTATTCCTATAGAAACTACGGAATAAATCAGCTTAGTCATGTTTCTTGAGAGGGACCTATTGCACCATCCAGTAAGTAATGGAGAACTCTCTTCCTGGGGTAGACGGAGTCCACAGGCATTTTTCCAAGTTGTTGTGCTATAACTATATATTAGTATAAATGTTCAGTACTGGAACAAAATATATTATATACTTCCATTTTCGTATTTATTTAATAATTCTTTAAAACAATAGGGCTATGAAAGACTAAAAACAAAGGTAACCAGATAAATACCTAGTGTTACCCACATCACTTTACTTGTGAGACAGCGAGTGAAAATTTAAAATCTCAGGTATATTTTTACTTACTTAAAAAAAAAAAAATAATAATAATAATTATTATTATTACTATTATTATTATTATTATTATAATAAAGTCTAATTCAAAGATTTAAAAATCAAGTACCTCTATTTATGACATGTAAGGCTATTTCACAACCATTTTATAATTCTTTGAAGTATGTCATGGTTTTGAAATAGATTTACACAATAAAAATTATTCTGATATTCACAATCTCTATTTTCATTTTAAAATTGATTTTATCATTTAAGCACATCCTGCTAAGTAGTTTGTGCAACAAAAATATCTTCCTGTGAAAACTAAACATCAGAAACCATCTCAGTTAAATAACAAATGTTTTCAAAAATCAATCTCAAAAAATTTCTTTGGTCTCATATTTATTTTCTACAACATGAAACTGCCAAGAAAAAATACCTTTACCAGAAATGTGGCTGAATGACTGACAGCTGAAGAGAAAATAATGCAATATCTGAATCTAATCACAGAAATAAATAAGTCAAACAATCAACAATACAAAAACTTGTGAATTGTGGCAATTCTTTACATCATTACTCATGGCTGAAGTCTTTCAATTAAAATGTTTGTACACCGTATCAAATTGTATGTCACTTAATTTATAATCTACAAACAAATTCCATTGCAACAACACAATGTTATTAAAGATACTTGACCATTATCAAGTAAAAAAAGCAGTCTTATTCATTCAAAACAGAATACATCCCGTATGTACCTGGGAAACATAACTCAGTTCAAATGTTTGGAATATTATAATAAAGTTATTAAAGAACATCATGATTCATGACACACTAACTAGTAAGCATTTACACTAAACATCATTTACAACGTGCACACATCATCTACTCCACAACAAGTTAAGTGTTTTTAGTTAAAGCACTGTTACAGAACACTATCAATTCAAAATTCTCTCTTCTTTTAGAAATGAGAATTTCCAATATATTGTGCTTCAATTCTCAAGTCTACATTCTACTTTCCCTGTGCTCTGCCAACCAATCACGGTTGTTCTTCATGAATATTGAAAAGCTTTGCAACTTCATTTAAGTCATCATATTTCCTCTCATCTCTCAGTACCTAAAATAAAAGCAACAAAAAATATTAATAGTTAAAAACCACAGCCAAGTACTACCCACATTGCAATGAAAACACTAATGACCGTATAGATTTTTGGAATTTTTATCCCAAAGAAAATTTTATGATAAAGAAATTACAGCATTTACTTACTTGTCGAGCCACTGACATTCGATTGAACACATTCCACAACACAATTCCAACAACAATGTCATCTCGAAGGTAAAATATAACACCTTTCCCATAATCTTCACCGTCTTGTGGAGGTGAAGGAGATGATGTTGCTGGAGTCACAGGCTTTGCTTTCTGGCAAATCAAATAATTCGATATTATTGTAGATTAACTTATGCCATTTATACAAATCTTTCTTACCAATGAATGAATGAATGAATGTAGCAGACATTACATGACGACTTCTCATAGAAATTTTAAAACATAGGCAAAACCAAACTAATGGAAGTCAACAATGTAGTACCAGAAACTCAATGTTTTGGCGTAAATTTGGGACCTTCTTCAGAATCATGTAGCAACAAAGTGATCAAAAACACAAGCTTATATAATGTATAATGGTACTGACGTTCATAGAACATATTCAATAGATTGTCAATATTTCTTTTGACATGTTGGATTTTATGCCAAATAAGCTTGTGCTACATAGACTGTAACAAGTACAAAATTATACCAATAATAATGTGCACGATGAATTAATACTGTATGTGCACCTGCAAAACTAACACTGTCACAGACTGGAGTGGAGTAGTACAACCTTTTAATATTTTAAAGTGCTAGTGCATTTCATCAATATTAGTTTTTTGTAATATTTTAGATGAATGCTTCCCTCACTCATCAACATTTCAGATTTTGGTTGGCTAACATTCATTTGTCCGTGACACACTGGGATTCAGTTCCATTCAGACTACCTATTAGAGAGGATTAAACATCCCATTAGTGTCATGGTGTGGTCTGTGATCTCGGGGAAGGGACCATGAGGCAAGACTTGAACATGCAAGGACCAGAAACTTTGCTACTACCACAGCTCAAAGTTCAAAGAATGGCTCTCTGGTGATAAAGAATACATTTTTGTACATGATTCAAGACTGAGCCACAAAGCCAGGAGTATTACTGTATTCCTGGCACAAAAATATTTGTTTTCCCTGGCCAGGGAACTCACCAGACCTGAACCCTGTAGAGAACTCTGCGTGAGAACCTAAGACAGGAACTAAGTAAATGGTTGATTGACAAGCAAGCAATCAACATCAAGAGCTAGTTAATTGGAATTCTCACCAAAGAATAGCATCACAACATTGAACTACAAGAAAATGCAAAAGCCTGCATAGAGCTTGCCGCAAAGCTGTAATTGCATCGAAGGATGGCGTCACTAAATACTAGTATTAATTCTCCTAAAAATAGTCTGACCCAAATATCATATTGCTTTTATGATTTCAATAATACTCTTATGAATAAAAAATAACTACGAGACCAAAACCCAATAATTTGTTAGAGTTTTGTATTCTACAGTGCATTTTTCTAAGTCCTCTCCCTAATAATTTGGCCATCTAAAGTATGTTTTCTGTATATTTTTCTTACATCTATTTCATAAATTATTTAGATCTAACTTTTTTTTCATAATTTCCTTATTAACAGTGGATGAGAGTAATACCTAATGTCTTCCATTAGTTAAATATAAACTCTCATAATCTAGATTTAAGTTTGGATGTTATCTGTAAGGGATTTTTCTAAAAAGAATTTGCTCATTAACATGATTCTTGTATCTGTGAAAAGTAGCACAGATGGATATGCTTATGAATTATTAAAAATTATTTTGAGGATTTTCTCTTGTACATCTAAAATTGGTTTAAGTGTTATGTCATATGCATCGCTCCAAGATATCAATTTGTAAGTGGCGCGTGAGCAAAATAAACCATTGTTTTTGATTCATTATAGATTTTATCTCATAGAAACATAAATTAAATATCTTAATTTATCTGTTATCATGTTTCCTTCATTGGACCAATTAAGGTTACTTTCAATAAATATTCCAAGATACTTAATCAAGTAAACTGTTTAAATTGGGGCATGCATATTGAATATTCTTGTGATAAGCAATTTTTTTCCTTTATATTTAACTCAAAATTATTAGGGTAACTATCTTGGTAACAACCATATACGATGAAGGTCGTCCAAAATCAGTTGTTGTTCCGAAAACCATTGATGCTGTATGTGAACTGATATTGCAAGATCGTCATGTGACTTATCGTGAGATTGAGACAACCTTAGGCATTAGTAGGACCAGCATACATTCAATATTGCATTAAAATTTGACTGTCAAAAAAAATTGCTTGCGTTGGATCCCACACAATTTGTCAATCGCTCAAAAAAAGGCTCGTGTCGATTGGTCGAAAGAAATGCTCAAAAAATACTATTGCGGTGCTTCAAAACACATCTATAACATTGTGACAGGTGATGAATTGTAGATTTACGCTTATGAGCCCGAAAGTAAACAGCAGTAGACTATGGGTGTTTCAAGATGAGCAAAATCCAACAAAAGTTGTTCGTGCATGAAGCACTTCCAAACAGATAGTAGCCTGTTTTTTCAAAAAAACTGGACATGTCGCAACCCTACCACTAGAACTACGCAGAACAGTCAATTCTGAGTGGTACACAAAGATTTGTTTGCCAGCTGTCTTCCAAGAAATCAGGAAGACGGATCACTCTTCACCACGACAATGCGAGCTCTCTCACATCGGCTCAAACAACAGTATTTTTGAGCACTCAAAACATCGATTTGATGAGTCATTCACCATATAGTCCTGACTTGGCACCGAATGACTTCTTTTTATTCCCGTACGTAAAAAACAAACTGAGAGGAAAACTTTTTCGACACTTGAAGTAGCGGTTGCTGCATTCTGAATGCATGCTTTGGAGATACCTCAATCAGAGTGGCAAAAGTGCTTTGACAATTGGTTCAAACGCATGCAAAAGTGTATAGATCTTTATAGGGAATATTTTGAAAAACAAAGTGATTTTAGATGATTAATATTTGTTTTTGTTCTCTAATCCTCAAATATAAAAGGCAACCCACGTTGAGTGCATTTAGCAGTATCCCTAACAAATAGTTTACAGAAAAAAATTGAATCCATTTTTGAGAAAATAATTTTTTGTAATTTTTTTAAATTGCACATATTGCACATAATATTGTGCAAAGACTACTAAAATGCTTTTAAAAAATGTATATGGTCTTAATGAAAGAACTCGCTATGGAAAACAAATTTTATTTGAAAGTAAAATGTCTTTTTCTTTTGTAGTTGTACAAAGATGCCAAAATAAATCAGACATGAAATTTTCAAAAATTCAGAATGAACTGTGATAATCAGACCTATGCCATGTTTATAAGTGAATGATACTCTATACTAGCTAGAAATTTAAAGAACTAATTTGAAGCCGTTTTTGAGAAAATTTTGAAATGTGCCAAGGGCTTCATGTAAACTACCCTCAAATTTTGAAGAATTTTTTTTTAAATCTCAAAGTTACTTGTGCCAGTTGGACAGGGATTTTTTCAAATTGGAAAAATTCCTACGCATGGTTTAAGAGCTAATAGTGTTCACAGACACCAAACGGACAGAGGGACTGATGGACAGATGGACATTTCAAAAAAAATCTTTTTCGGTATTAGGGGATTCCAAAAGGTGTATTTCTGTTGAAATTCCAAAATCAATTTTCTTCAGCATTACATAAGTTTTCCTATACTACGTTTATTAATCCATACATTTAATATATTTATTTGTATATTAATCAGTCCATTGTATGGGAAGGGGGGGGGGGGCAACACAATTTTGTGCTTGGGGTCTCGCATTACTTAAATCTGGCCCTGTGGATGATGTAATGATAATTATGTAATGATAATCAATTGTAAGAAGGAGAATAGGAAATGGAAAGCAACCAAGCAATTTGTTAGAAATTGTGTAAGGAGTTTTTAAAGGAAGGAAATTTCAGATGATAGTACAATTTAGACTTATACGGGAAATCTAAACGCGTTCCAGCAGCAAGCTAGCATGAGGCCACAAATGAGGAAAGTGACCACATGTCATCGGACAAGCTTCATGAGGAAACCAGAAGGATGTACATAAACTTTTAAAGATGATTTCCTATCAAGGGAGATGAAGTTATGTTTTATGAATATTTAAGAATATTTTATAAGCAAGAATCAAAAAGAGAGTATGGCCATGAGAAGTGTTAGGGAAAGAAGGAATGTGTTTGTAAATAGTGAATGTTGTAAAAAGTGTGTTTGTAAAAAGTTGATTTCTATTGTTATGATATTTTAATGTTTTGTCATTGGTGATTCGTAGCAACCACAGTGAGGCTGTGAAATCTGTAACTTAATTGGTGAAAACAAAAATTAAAATGATCTTGGAAAGATTAACATGTTATTGTGATTTAAATAGTTAAATTCAATAACCGAAATTCTGTCCATAAATTTTTTGATGTTTGAAACACTGTATGGGCAAGACTGTCGACCTGCGTATATAACATTTCCAAGACCTATGAATGAATCCATTTATGAAAGTAACAGAAGTGAAATAAATTAATCAATACTTATAAAGCCAGGGCAGGCAAAATTTAGATACCACAATTTTCATACTTTCAGAATATCCGAATAAATTGTCATTAGTTTACAAGAGAGGGATTTCAGCGGGTTACAAAATGATAAAACTTATCAAGAAGAATTGGATGGTTGGTATTGGAAGTCAAATCCAAAAATATCGTTGGATATTATTTATTAGTATTACTTGCACTATACATTTGATCCATTACCATTATTAAGGTATGATCTGTATTCTTGTTACTTTGAAATCTACATTTATTAGCGTTTATTAAATTGTGTTTAGTAATGAAATATCCATTATAAGTTATAGAAGTCTCTCAAAAATTTGAGCAAAGTTGGAAATAAGAGACAGGTCAATAATTGGTAGCACAAGTGGAATCTCCTGTTTTAAAGACATCTCAGCTTTTTTCAGGTGGTAAGAAAATATCCCTCAAAATGTGCATTTATTGAGAAAATAAACAAATGGTTTAATTGTATAGTTTGAGATCTCTTTAATGATTCTAATCGATATTTTGTAAAATTCTGCTGATTTACTGATATTTTTTTGTTACTAATACATTAAGTATTTGTTCTTCATTAGTTGGACTTCAAAAAGTTAGTTTTAAATCCTATTAGTTTACAGTTTTGTAATGTAGCACATAATGTTTTAAATTTTTTGATGAGTAGTTCCCCATGTCATGTCTGCTACATTCATAGGTCATAGAATTTGCACATATTTGGTACTTAATGTAGATGTCAACATTTATTAACTTATGCTACATTTCAGCAAAACAATTTATTTCCATCAAATTTGCACACACGTAGTCTAGTGTTTTGAGAATGTGATATTTCAAGACAGATCTATGTTAAGATTTCACTACACTCTTATACAAATCAATGAAATAGGCAAATCCAGTGCTGGCTAGGCATGGGCAGACTGGGCGATCGCCCAGAGCCTGATGATGGGATCGATGGTAAAAATCGAAGAATTAGAACTCGAGCAAATCATTATTGTAATTTTATAAGACGTGATACAGTGGTAAGATATTTCATTAAATTTTGAATTATTTTTTTACCTTAAATACTGAATTATGGGTATTTCTTATAAGGTAGGACACTGTGAAATAGAAAATGTCAGAAAATTCTAAAAAGGTTTACAATAATTCTTTTAAAAGTCTTTTTTTTAAAACAATTATTTAAAATATTTTCCAAAATCTATTTGTAACCTAAACATTGTACTTTTCGTTATTGCTTGAAATAAAATAACTCAAAAAGTTTCTATATTCACTTTTGACATTTTTAACTTTTTTCAGAGGGGAGGAGGGTGCTACGTTCCATCATTGCCCGGGGCCCAAAATTATCCAGCTCTAGCACTGGGCAAAACTTCACCAAATCATTCTTCACAAAAAGGGGGAAAATGGAGAAAACAATCTCGAAATGCATACTGGATCTGTATCATGCTCTTCACAATACACTCATAAAAAAATAATCTTCCCCAAATTGAACGGGTGATACACGCTATATGGGTATTCGTTTTGAGAATATACATCAAATTGCTTTACCCAAGATTTCTGTTACATTTAATACAAAATATTAATCATGTTGAATCATTGAGTTTTCCCCCAATTCTTGCAAAATATTACAGGTATCTTTTCTAATCAAAATGAAATAAAAATTGAGAATATAATTTGTTATTCACAAAACCCACACCTCATCACAATTTGATTCACAAGTAATGCAAAATGTTTTCAACTTACTGCTTCACTGGCTGCACGATTTCCCTCATCTGTTTCTGAAACAACAGACTTAGGAGTATCTTTATCAGTGGCCTTGGCAAACACTCCCACTGTAGGCAAAGATGAATCCACAATCCCAATTGCTTCATAGCCCACCTCTGGCCCAAGATCAGACCAAAACATTGACTGATGTACATATGGCTTCCCTGCAAAAAAAGGAGGAATTGACTTTGTTGAAATTTTGAAGTAATGAAATTTCTGCAAATACATTTAAGCAACACAATTTAAAATACAAAAGTTTCTAATATGTGCTACCATGGACAAAAATTGTGGTATTATAATTTTATGTAACTGTTAGTGGGGCGAGAAAGTACATACTATTTTACTACTAGTGTCCTGATGCGACCTTGTTTGTTGTTTCTGCTTCCTTAACAACCATTTGCTTTAAATTCACATCTACTGGAATGGAATTGCTATGCGACTATTAAGGAAAACCCAAACCTGCAAAGACACATTGTGAACTGCCCCAACCTGAGGGGCAATTTGGTTTCTTGAAATACGGCTAGGAAGGAATTGACACAGTGCACAGACACAGTACATATCTGCCTCCTCTTTCACGACAATCTTAGAATTGAAGAACGTGTTCCATAGAAATATTTATACATTACAATTAATTGAATTGAATGAATTTGAATTGAATTAATATATATCTTGTTTAGACACTGGCTACTTTATCACCCTTCACGATTCACCAAAGGTACTGTGATCTTGGATGTGGTCTCCAATTCTTTTGTTTTGTATTAAAAAATGTTCGCAAATCAAAGTCATTTTCCAGAATCAACTTTTGCTTTTTTACATTTTACACAATCAATTTTTCCCCCTAGGGCTTTTATCCAGTCAACAGCCGGTTACCCTTTACATCCTGGTGGTACGCAAATTTGACCATACACTAGACACTAACACACCCTTATGGGCACCTCTGATCTGGCCTCAGCAGAATGTGAGGCCCTCCATGACAACACATACGTGAGTCACAACACAAACAATCATGCCCAAGGCAGACCTTCAATCTATGACCCTTCAGACTGAAGCACTGAACTGGTACACGTTCTTACCTACCTCAGTCATCCAGGTCGAAATCAAATATTTTTAATATTAATTTCTGAAAGCATAATTTCACACTACCTGCTCCAGTCATATTTTCACCAGCCAGCCGACCAGATACAACAGCATGATCATGATGCTCTACTCTTCGACGTCCGAGTTTAGTATCATAAAAACAAGTACAGTCTCCAGCCTGATAACAATGAAAAAGGTATACAATAACTCATATTTCAAAAATAATCACACTCAGCATTCAATACTTACAATCCACAGATTAGAGCGCGCCATTAACTCAGCATTCACAAGATATCCTCCAAATTCATCATCTGTCTCAAGTTCTGATGGTTCAGCTAATTGAGTATTTGGTTCCACACCAACTGCCACAATCACATGTTCTGCAGAAACCTGCACAAATTACAGTATATTAAAAAATACTGATGATAGCCAAATTGAGAAGTAGTTTTCCGAAGGAGGAGGAGGAAGAGAAGAAGAAAAAAAAATAAGAAGAGGAGGAGGAGGAGGACGAGGAAGAAAAAAGGTTCAAATATCTGTTATATCAAGCTTCTTCTGTAATATGAGTATCCTAGGAAAAAAAATTCAAATAGAATAGAAATTACAGTTAATGCATAATTTTCACCTAATACATTATAACTCACCTTTTCCCCCGAATTTAAATGAAGGACAACAGCATTTGTGTCCAAACTCACATCTTCCACTTCACTGTTGGGAATGACTTCTACACCTTCTTTTTGTACTTTATGAGTTGTCCAGAAACTCAAGTATTCGGGAAGAACTCTCCCCATATTTCCAGACTCTCTGAATATTTGAGTGATCTTATAGCCTTGATTTTGTCCTAAAAATGTATTTTAATTAATATTTGACATTCAAAATATTGAAAATTATTAACAAGTTATTACTAAGCACCATGCTGAAATACAAAGTATTTGAAAACAAATAAATTCCTAGTCCTTAATATTAGATTGTGTGTGCGATTGTGTGACATGTCCATTGCACAAAACCTTTTGAACACTGATCCAAAAGAACTGAACACTGCCACTCCCATATACCAGGGGAGGTAGCGAAAGGTGTCACACTCATATTCCAGGAGAGGAAGCAAGAGAGCAACATAAAGAAAGAGAGAATAAGAAAGAACGAGAGCAAGAGAAAGAAAGACTAAAAAAAGAAAGAGTAAGCAAGAGAAAAATGAGGGGAACAAAAGAGCAAGTGAGAGAAAGAAAGTAGAGCAAACGACAAAAAGCAAACAGCAAGACAAAGAAAGAAAATAGGGGAAAAAATGTTAAAATAAGTTTGGTTACATCTATTGGGGGAAGAGGATGTGTTAGGTGAAGTGGGGAATGGGGAAGATGGAGGACAGGGGATGGGAGACAGGGTTTTTAAGGGATAATGGAATAAATAAATACCCGGTCAAGCCAAATAATCAAATAGTCATTATTATAAATGACAATGAAAAAAATCAACATTTACAATAAATTACATCCAAACATTTCTGTGGAAGAGTATTCCAGTGTTAAGTCATCGTAAGTGTGTCACAGTGTACAGTGTTAATGATGGGAGATAATTTATTTCTCAGCTAGTCCACATTTAAAACTTGACAATTCAAATTCAACTGTTCTCTGTATGTACAATCAGGATAGAATTTTTTCTGTCCCTAGAAAATTTAAAAACTCTTTACACCAAAAATTACTGCTATGTGTGGACCTCATATTCTGGCTAGAGAATTCTTATCTATGAAATAAATGTCCTTTTTTCCATAAAAGAAACTAGTACCACTCATTTGTTCCATTTGTGATTATTACTATTATGGGAAAATGATAACATTTTTCTGAAAGAGTTTCTGCCAGAGTCCAGAGAAAATATAGTTTTCGTTCTCTGAAATCCCTTGCCAACAAACAGAAGTTATTATACCCTCCCCTCCAACACAAATCTTCGTAGCTTTGGAAATAATTCAGAAAGGTGTTCAATACATAAAATTGCAAATTACTTTTATTGCCAGCAGTTTTTGGATCATTTGGCCATATACTTAAGAAATTTTATGATAGTAATCACAAAATTCAGATAATTAAATTATTTAAATATTATTTTCTTTTAGCTCTGTTTTATTTTTTAAATTTGTTTTAAAAGCTCATGGGAAAAAAATCGTGTCTACTTCTATTCAGAAATGACTTTGTGTAACTTTTAATATCAAAGGAACTGACAAATTTGATATATATCACGGTCAGTCTATATTTTGAAAAGGAGACTTATTATATATTCTAATTGATGACAATCTAATGATTTAATGAATTCATAGATATGGGCTACAACAGTGATCTCTAATGAATGTAATGAATATGAAGACAATGATTCTTTATATAGTTTCTCCATTTGTTAACTGGAAGCATTAACACAATAACATGTGGTTAGACAACAATACACAAGTAAACCTTTAATAGATTTTTCACATGCTCTCAAAAAGTGGCTTGAAAATTGCTTAAATGACTTTCCCTTAACAACCATTATGAAATTGATGGGGAATTAGAATATTTGAAGAATAACTGAAGTGTGTGTTGTACTTCATACGTTTTGATAAAGATTTGTAGAGATATATTGTACTATTTTTGATGATGATAAAAATAATGTTAAAAATCAAAATACTATTTTCTGGCTGATTCATACATTACAAGACAGTTAGCATCAAGTATCCATGCTTTCAATTTTGCAGTGTTTGAATAAATCATTCAACTACTATATTCTTTAAGTTGGAGTCACTGTAAAACAACACACTCTGAATTATGAGAGAAGCATTACCACAATGTAATATTCTTGTATCTTCACAGTTTTATCATGGACATTCTCAGACAACGCAGACGATTATTAGTTGTATAATAGGTAATAAAAATGTTAATTCTATGAATGAGACAATACTGTTGAATTAATACTTTGAACAGAAAATAATACAGAGATGTGCATCTTATTTGTTGAATTTCAAACATCAAACCAATTAAATACTTAAAATTTCAATAAAATATTTCTTATAATCTCCTTCACTGAGAAAATATTTTGCCCACAAAAAGAGCATACTGAATACACTTATCCTTCCACTTATTAATCTTAACTTAAATTATTAATCCACTTATTAACACATATGTTAATTTAAGAGCATTAAAGATCTAATAAATTAAAAACTTATAACACAAACATTTTTTACACATTTTGAATTTACCTCTACGAGCCAAGGCACATGCCAATTCACTCCCTAGGAACCCGCCTCCAATTATGGCTATTTTTTTCACACCTCCCTTAAGAATTTCCTCCAGCTCCTCATAATCAAAGATATCTCTGAACAGCGAAACTCTCTCTTGAATATCTTGGGATGCTTCTTTAAATACAGGTAAATTTTTTGGAGACGAACCTAAAAAGTAAAGAAAATCAATTGTATACACGCAGAACTAATTTCTTTTTTCTAATTTCAAGAATTTTTTTCCATTCTCCAATTCAATGTATTAACAATATAGTGTTTTTTTAAAATTATTATTATTATTTTTATTATTAAATTGCATTGGGAAATAAATCTCAGACTTTAATACTGAAGGTGAAGAACTTTGAAACTAAATTTTTACAATCACAATTTTCCAAATTTAATACATTTTAATGAAATTCTGAACTAAATCATATTTACAAATCCTTCTTTTTCTATTCGAGCAAAAATTGTAGCCATTTTCAAGAGAATTTTGAATGGCACAGAGGCTTCATATAAAATACCCCCAAAATTAAAATATCTTGATAATCTTCAAACAGCACAATTACATCTTACTCCTGATGTATTTACCAAGTTTCAGCTCAAAAGCTTCTAGTCTGACAAGGAGTTGTGTGTAACACATACTTCCTTACTTCCGTCTATCCATACTACAATGACAGATGTACATGAAGAGTGGTAGAAAATGGATAGAGATTTATTACTCGTGCACGTCTTCTTGATACACGAGCTCCTAGTCCTCGTCCAGCGCTGAATAGCACAGCAGGTTCAGATACTTAGGTTTCACTCAGAATGACACATACCAATATACAATGCTGGCAACAACCACCTAGTACTTTCAAAACAATCGTAGAATTTCTCATGGCACTGTGGTGTGTTTAGTTCATGACCACAGTTGGTACGCCCTTTTCAGCCATGACATAGACAGAGCCCTTCTCTCCCCGCAGTGGAATATCAAGAAAACTTGCAGGTATAGTACATGAGACTTTCATGTACATGATGAATTATAGAAGCAGAAAAATATAATAAAGGATTTGAATTTACAGCTCAGAAATTGAAAGTCATCTCACAATTCTCGTATGTTACAGGAGGAAAGATAAATTATCAACATTCTAATTTGCAATATTAGGAATTACCTGCTATGAGGGAAAAGACATTTACATACCTGTAGCAATAAGGCATTTTTCATATTCAATAACATGATCATCTTCCAAATATGCTTTCCTTCCAAAAACATCAATTTTCTTCACTGTCCAGCCACGAGCAACACTCACGCCTCCATTTGGCTCATCCCGAAGACGTTTGCAATCAACATAAAAATCTTCTGGCTCATAAAATAGGCTGTATAAGTCAAAGCCATTTAAATAAGTCCCATGAAAATAAGCACCCGCAATCAATTTTGCATTACAATTTACATACCTTCGTTCAGTTCCATTCCACTGTCTGAATACAAGAGGTTTAGAATGTGGTCCTTCATTAAACCACATTTCTTTAGATAACGGTGGCCTCATGTATGGGTAAAATGATTCATTTGATATAACAAGGACCTGTGACAATAAGAGCAATAATAAAGTACATTATGAAACAATGATGTAAAGATGGGTATTAATACACAAGTACAATATTATGATTCAAGCAAGGAATGAGTGAGTACAGTAACTTTACACAAGTGTATTAATACCCATTACATCGAGTTGCACTTTTTCTACCACTAATGGTAACTTTTATAAGTTAAACTTTTACACTGAATGAACACTTTGGGGTAGTTGACATGCCCAATTCAGCCAAGGCTACCTAGCGAACAGCTTTCCTATCTTATGACAGGTGGCTTTGGTTTACCATTTGAGGCAATAATTCCAAGGTCACCATTTTTGCTTTTTTCTTTATTTCTGGAGGTGCTCAGTCAACCTCTGATTCACTAGACATATTAAACTAAAGAATTGACAGGTTTTAAAGGGCAACCACAGAGCAGCAACATATAATACAAAATTACTTATGTTCTGATCTTAACCTCAGTCAAATGTTCTCTCTACCTCTGCGCCAGTCCAATAGGATCAAAGAGAAATTAATTTTAAATAATATTCCGTGTAAAAATTAGTAATAATAAAAGAATTGAAAACTGACAAGCTTAATATAGTATTAAATACAATTTTAATGTCCACAATTGTATGAAACATTAACTAGAACGATTCTCAATGATGCAATTTGTCAAGTGTCTTTTAATTTATCTGAGGAAGGAAAAATTAACACAACAAGCAAAAACTATTTGTTTTTTCAAAAAACTATTCAAAGCCTTATTTAAAGGTAAAATTTTTTTACAACATATTTCATTAAGGAAAAAAGTTCTGTTGTCAGTATTACACTTTAGCTATTTCAATTTTCTCCAATTTTAGAAAAAAGTGTTGACCAAAAGTGGGTCCTACACCATTTTTAAGTGTGCTTTGGTCTATCTGAGCATAAGTGGCAAAAACTAGCAATCCTGACTGGTCCTGGCAAACAAATATTTTTTTCAAGGATTGAAAATACAATTTCTTCTACAATAGACAGAGGCTTGTAAGGGGTTCCTCTCAAAACTACAACAGAAAAGAATTTTCTTGTACATTGGTGAATAGGTATTTTTTAAGTGAGGTTTAATGTAAATACAAATAAGTATCTAATTGTACCAATTTCACACTGCTGAAAGAGTTGTAACAAACCTTGGCTTTTGGATCCAGACTCTTTATAGAACGAAATGCAGAAAAGGAAGCAGTACCACCACCTATAAGAAGGTACCGTATTTTACTAGGGATTTCCTTAGATGTTGCTGGAAATTTCACAGGAATCTTCTCTTTTCCTGTTGGTTTAAAAGTTCACAATCAGATGCACATAAAGAAAGAAAAAAGAAAGAAAAAAAGAATATAAGAACTTACGCCTTTTCTCTTGCTTTTTTTCTACTTCCTTTTTTGTTGTATCCATTCCATATTTGTAAAACTAATAGGAAAAACACTTGTATAAATTACAATGTCAAAACATTACTAATACTTAAGCTTGTAATCAATCCACATTTAAACTTCATGTTCAAGTTACATACTGCAAAAAGACTCAGTGCAGTGAGAAGAATTCCAATGGCAAGATGTTTTCCATATTTGCGCTGCTTTGGTTCTCCATCCCATGGACATTCTGGTTGGGGAACTTCTTTCATAACATTCGGTTTTCCACATTCTGGAGGACTCATTATAGGTTTACAAGTACCGGCGATTACATGAGGTGGTGTTGAAGGTCTTATTGTCGTGTCTCTGGCAATATTGTCTGAGGATTTTTTGGTGCCCGACTGCTTGCCGGCATTTCCTTTATTAGCATATAATCGGGTTCCACTAGCAGTAACTGCAAAGACATAAATATATCTTAAGCAAATATTTTTACACCAGAAATACACCAAGCAAAAAGTTGTACTCTATTTCACACAGCAGCAACTGCAATGAACTTGATATTAACCAAGCAGCAACTGCTTTTTGAGCAATGGTACATGCACATAAAAAATATCAATATTTTACTTCCAGAATAGTCCAAACCTATTTTCAAAAGAAAGATGAAAAATGAATCATAAATTCACCTCTTCATAAGTCATAATTTTTTCTACACATACAAACAAGGCTTGGCATTTACCTGCCAACTTTATCGGTGAGATGGACTTATAAGATCGAAGAAAATTTGAAACGTGAGTTGCACACCGTATAGTTCCATACATTATGAACGAGTCATCAACGCCGGTATTACAACAATATGGCGACAATCCTCAATTCGAATGATATCGCGTCTTCGCCTACGTACACATGCAATTACACATTCTATTCAACAGATTCGAAAAATATAGTCGTCTTAATTCATATTCGCATAATTATTGGCATACACATAAAACATACGAGCTAAGCCGCAACAAATAAGGATAAAGATACACCAAAATCAGAGCAACACATAACCAAATAATATAAGAAGTCACAGCATTTGTGTTCAACTTTCAATTGTTTATCAGAACTTCATTCGTTAACAATTGACAGACAAAATGCGTGTCTACCCGAAAACAGTACAACTATTGCCGCTGGAGGAGCTACTATCGCCAAAGAGCAGGCAGTATACGTCGGCAGTGGAGTTTGACGTACATCAGTTGTTGACAGTGACATCCAATAGGAAAGCTCAACGTCACCATAGTGACGTCACACTCAAGCTCTGCTCAAGCTGCTGCTCTGCTTGGACAACGTAACAGCTGTTTTACGTTATGCGCCACTACAAACAAATCGAAGTATGTATTAGAAGCACTATGTATCGTAAGCAGTTGACAAGTGATTACAGTAGTATTTCCACCATGATTAGAGTTACAAGTGGTGATTGTGTGCAGGATCGGATTAACAAGTTAGGCACAGTGCGTAAGGCCTACGAACATGAAAGGCCCACGATAAGACTTCCTGTTAATTTTTTTATTTCAGTACTAAAATAGATAAATCACATACAAACAAAATTATATTTTTTATCCTAAAAATAACATCAATAATTTATACATTACAATACTATGTTTAGGTCTATAATTAGAATATTATTATTATATAATAGTGTTGGATTATCAAAAGCAAAAATTACTATTTTTTCCTATTTTTCGATTCAGTAAAATCTTTTATAATAATGTCATATTCAATGTTTGCTAAGATTTCTCTTTCTATACACCCTACAGCGAGAGAAATCAAAAAAAGTTTGTCATTATGGATCGCAAATTAATTTAGAAAATGAACTCTCGTCTATCCGGGAGACGCCGCGTCGTTGGCTGGGGTGCCGGCATCTCCCGGATAGCCGAGAATTCATGGATTCGAGCCGCGGAAGCTTACGTATACATAGAAAATGGACGCTAAAAAGTCTAATAATTACAGCTTAATACCATTCTACAATTTTTTCTTAGGCCTACGAAAAAATTGTGCCCAGGGCAAGTCCCTCTGTATACCAAGTATATAGTATATAGAAAGGAACTTGCCTAGGGCCTACGTCAAGCTCACTGTTTGCAAGCTGTTTGTGCCCTAATGCTAGTATAGTATACCAGAGGAGTTTCTGAAATCGCAACAGTCACGTGATTTGTGAACTCGTGTTTGAGCTAATGTGAAATACCCTCCATCAAACTCACATTTGCTGCCCCGCGTGGGGCTAGTCATTTGTGAAATGCTACTTCTCCTACTGATTTTAATATTAACTAGAGCGCCCGTGCGAGAACTCTCGCATATTAATTCCCTCCCTTTCAGAATCATTTCCATTAAAAAGGAAAGTTGTTAATGAAATGTGTTTATTTGTTAAAAAATGTATAAATGTAACTTCGTACTTTCACAACATCAAACAAAAATTTAAAAAAAAAAAATTTAATTGATGTTAGACACAAATTTTTAATAAAGGTTTATTTAATTTGATAGAGGTGCGTTCTTCGAACAATTCACACTTATTTAGAAACATTTGAGATTTCTTGTCAGATAGCCTTTCGCTTTCCTTGATAGTCACAAAGATATTAGAAAAGGTTTTTACTCTTGAGGAAGCCAAGTAAAGTTCTCTATGCGAAAATACAGGATCGTGCAAGTACAACCCTATTCTTTGCAATATTATTTAACATTCCTGGATTTGCTATGAGGTATAGTGGTGGATTTGGAGGGGTAGGCGCCAGCTTGCTGCGTTGCAAAAATTGCAAAATTATTCGTAAATAAAAAAAATATTGGATTATTTTCTGCGTTCTTACGTACCTAGCAATTCCGAGCCAAAAACTAATAAAACTAATATTTCCCCCCTTTGGGTAATATATAACATTTGTTACTATTTGAAACAATTCTGTAGGATTAGACTTCACTTGGTACGTAGGAATATTGCTCAAACGATGTTTACGTATTAAACATCAAAGCGAAACAGCGTTGCGAACTGACACCTTAAGTTTAATATCAAACTGTATTATTATACGGTACCACATGAGTTTACAGCTGGACATTAATGTACATACTTCCAGATACCACCAACATTTAAATCATGAGACTAGATTGTGATACTCGGCAGTTGTCAAATGACATTCTTTCTATAATTTTAAATTTGGTTGCTCTTTTAATTAATTCACGTAATATTGTAGGCTAGCGCGTTTTCATTTTTGTTGTTCATTTAAAGCTACTTTACTTTTGGTAATTTAAAAAATTTGTTTTTTGTGTTGTGCCATAGCACAAGTTTTCCCCTACTACCCGTGCGAGAACTCGCATGTTAAACCCCACACTCTTTCCTATCCTACTTCCATTCTAAGAGGGAAAGTTATAAACGAAACGTATTTATTTGTTTAAAAATGTATTAAGATAACTTCAATTGTACTACCACAATATCAAATAAAAATAAAACCAATGCAATTGACGTGGAAAAAAAATTTTCACTAAAGATTTACTCAGTCAGTTTTACTTATCGAGAAATTTCTTTAAACAATTCCAACACTCCCTTAAAAATATTTTAAGTAATTATTCAGTATTATTTTATAGATAGCTTTTCGTGATAGTCACAAAATATTAAAAAAGCTCTTTACGCTTCAGAAAGCTACATGGCTGAACACGCTGACTTGAAAGTTTAAATAATAACAATAACAATAATAATAATAATAATAATAATAATAATAATAACAACAACAACTCCGCCTGTGGTTGTTGCGTGTTATGGCAGCAGACACTGTAGGTCCCAAGCCCGGGCAAAGGAGGAGGGATAAATTTAGAAGTAGCTCGCATCGCAGATGCAGCTAGAAATGGAACTGGGAGGAAGAAGGGATCCTGCGCACTTGTAGTAATTGATTTTAGAAATGCCTTCAACTCGGCCAGGTGGAAGGACGTCATGAAAGCATTGGTTGACAGGGGGATCCCTGAATATTTATTAAGAATAATCGAGGATTACCTTCATGAAAGGAAGATAATTAAAATGGATAACATCAAGATTGAAGAAAATATCACGTGCGGAGTTCCACAAGGGTCCAGACTTGGCCCCTTTTTATGAAATGTCCTGTATGATGGCATATTGAGTAATAAGCTTCCAAGAAATACGCAGAATATAGGATACGCGGATGATACACTAATAATAAGTCATAGTGACGATATTGAGGCAATGGAACTAAGAGTGAATGAAGTACTATATAGATATAAAAGATGGCTAGACAGACGACTTCTTCAGATAGCAGTAGGAAAAACTGAAGCTATGTTAATTACCGATCGGAGGGCTTTTCGCTTTTCAGATATCCGTCTGGGAGAAGAGAGAATAAACTGGAAGCGCCAAATAACATATCTAGGAGTTGAGATAGACAGTAGACTTAAGTTTGCGCCATATATAAGTGTGATGGCAGAAGGTAGCGAGGACAGGATCTTACTTAGCAAGACTACTATCGAATATAGGTGGACCACGAGAAGCCAAGAGAAGGTTGGCATCTGGAGTAGTTCACTCACAATTGTATGCAGCACCAGTCTGGGCGAGTTCATTGGAAAAACGGGTTATGAGAAATAAATATGCTCAAGTGCAAAGACGAATGGCCTGGAGAGTGGCGGATGCCTACCGAACTGTGTCTACTTGCGCAGTGCTAGTATTGGCCAGTATCCCGCCCATCGATCTGATAGCCATGGAAAGGAAAAGAATTCTCGGCTATCCGGGAGACGCCGCGTCGTTGGCTGGGGTGCCGAATAATCGAGCTCGAGCCGCGGAAGCTTACGTACACATGGAAAGGAAAAGCCGCCTTACAGGAAGGTCGACAAGTAAACATCCATCTCCCTCCCAAGGAAATACAGACTATTAAGAGTGAGGCTAGGAAACTACTTTTTGAAGAGTGGCAACGAAGGTGGAATGTGGACGCTAAAGATAGATGAACACATCGTATAATTAATAACATTGAGAGATGGGTGAATCGAAAGTTTGGGGATGCGAATTATTACGTATTCCAGGATTTTACGGGACACGGTGGCTTTGGTAAATACTTTTATGATTACAAGATTAAAGAAAGTCCGACCTGTAACTTATGTCGAGAAGATATTGTAACGAATATTGCATCACCTGCCGGAATTCGCTGCGCCGGAATTGCGATATCTGCCCCCCTTCCCCCCGAATTGGACAAACTCGCCTTTCGCGAGGCGCGTGGAAAGACGGAACAAGTGCTGGTTGTGTTGAGACGATCGCCGACCAGATATAAATGCGCCGCTGTCGGCGGCCACGAGTCAGTGTACGTTAGTTAATCAAGGTAAGTCAGTCTATAAATAGATCAAGTAGTTTTAGCGTATAATACTTTACAAATAAACGTTGTTGTTTAAATACCTGTGTGTGGGGTTTTTAATTCACCGCCGAGAAACGTTACAATATTGACGGTGCATGGCATACACTGTTTCAGTGCAAGGTATGGGATGCGGTAAGGGAGATTTGTAACGTTAAGCTTCAACAAGTGATAACTCCAGAAAACATTGTGGACATGAGTTCGGAGGAGAAGTGTACTATAATAAAGAACTACTTAGTTAACATCATGAAGGAAAAGGAGCGGATGAGTTAAAGCATTAGCTTCCAGCCAATCTTCCACGCGAAGTAATGTCTAGCGACGGTTTACAAGTAGGAGAAATCACGACTTCGGAGATGAAGGTTTAGGGTTTTAGTCGGTAAACCAAGAAGGGGGGTCGGGCAATAGTGGCTTTACTGGTCCCCATAAAGGATGTCTCCCTTCTAAATAATAATAATAATAATAATAATAATAATAATAATAATAATAATAATAATAATAATAATAAAGAAAGAAAGGAAAAAAGAGACGTCTTCATAGATCTTCCTTGTTCGAATCACTGCTGATAACGAAAATACTCGTAAAACGAATGTACAGGTAAAACACAAACCAAACCTAACAAGGCATGTTTTCACTCTTCACTGTACACCAACATCCCTCTACAATTAGGTACAAAGCACTTGTAGGTCTAAAACAAAACGTTAAATAAATGTTTTTTATTACACGCAAAAGAAAAAATCTTTATAGGTATCTAGCAACTATTAATAGTACTTCTAGTTGTTAATGCGAGGGCGATTCTTGAATTAATAATTATGCAAATAAATCTTGTCACTCTGCGCACACCGCCGTGTACACAAAAAGAGTAAATAGTATAAGATAGAGGAATCTAAGTCTTCTAAGCGTAATGTCACAAAGGTGGCCACCATCACCAAGGATTGAAGTATAGATGGCATTGGTAGTACTGTGCCGAATCATCAAAAATTTATCAGAATGTAGATGTATTTCATTCTGTAGATTACGGTGTAATGAACGTTTCTTTGTGGCCTTTGACATCAAAATGTTAATTTTTAAGGTTTTAGAACACTTCGATTTGGAGTTAATTGAAGATATATCTGACTGAGTGCCGCGGGTTGCATTTGACATGAATATTTAGATGCGTTTTTTTAAAAACAAATCCTTCATATTTTTAAAGACAAAATGAAATTCACTGTTTCCGTAAACTTCTCTTTCTTCAGAGGCGTCCTTTATAAAGATCGGTTGTGTGTGAGAGCCGCAAAAGGTATGTATACTACTGAAATAATATATGAGACGATATCTTCATACTATTTACAAACAATCTTATGGATATTGAGGGAATGCAAACTACCATGCAGGATTTTTGTATTCGAAAAGCAAATACGTTAATGCCATATAACAGGTAAAATATGAAGAATTACGTAAATATACAAATTAAAATGAGTCATCGGGAATGCAAGGCATCAGCAAATGAAAATATTTTATTTATAAATTAAATACATTTTGGACAAATTAAGAAACATTTTCGAAATAAAAGCATATTAAACACGTGGGACATAGTTGATATAAGATAAGAGAAGCGTAGATGCATGGTTGCGGGGGCGACAAGGGTGCATCGGTTCGAAGAATAACAAGCAAACAAGTTAACTTTTTAACACAGATCGTGAGGAACACATTCTGAGAGGAACGGATTTGATTTGGTAACGTGTGGATCTTCGGCCGTCAGGGCGTTATGTAAAAACATTTGTTTTTAGTTTGTGAGAGACAGAAAATGGGCATGTGGTCCACGATAAATAGAGAATTGGGGAATAAGTCAGCTAAAACTGATTAGCGAGAAAAGAATAATATTCGTGAAAGCATTAGATCGCGAATTGTAGTAAAACATATTAAGTAAATTCAGTGAGGTAATATGAAGAACTTCAGTATGAAAGAAGTCGCTCGTCTCATTTATGAAACGTTTTTAGTATTTGAGCACAAATTATGGAAAAATGAATGAACGCTAACGTTATTGACATTCTACCGCACAATATTTGCTACTAGGAGGGTAAGGCGACGAAGGATATGTCAATTAAACAAATTAAACGTGAGATCAATGTCACATCCGCAATATCATTAGAAGAAATGAAAACAGTGGAGAGAGGAAACGTGTTACTGTATCACTAGCCTCCGTTTATTTGTTTAATTCCATGTGAATCACAATACCATCCGATTCTCTCGAGAATGAAGCTGAGTAACTATAACGCGCGCATTTTAACTACTGAAAATTCGGTGTACTGAAAGTAGTCTTTAAATGGGCAAATTAATAAAATTGCTATTAAGAGCTGGTTGGAATTCGGGAAGACGTTAACTGAGAGGGACTTGGTTAGACTGATGACTGTTAACTGAGGTGTAGTATGGATTTGACCGTTGACGTTTTGCGCGCGGATTTCAAATCTGACTCTGCAATTGCGCTCATTTTCATCATTATCTTTGCTTTTGGGAGAGTGTAACAGAAATAACTAGTGGAGCAACACAATGGCACATACTTTCCCGTATTAGTTTTCTATTTATTGGGACTAGTACAAATAGAAAAAAAAGTCAATACCTGCCTCTCCCCTCCTCACCATTTCAAATTTTAAACATAGAATGTACTAATATTATTATATTTTATGTATTTGCTGCCATAATTGATATGATGTACTGTTTTAATATTATTATACGTCCTAGAAGTAAATGACATAAACAAGTAAATTTTACTTTAAACATGAAACTGTACAAATCTTGAAATGTTACATTATTTGCTACTAAAAATAATTATCTACCGTATAATACCCTAATGTATCTGTAGCAAGTATTGCAGTGTAATTCCTAGGCTAATGACCTCATCTTGATCAGGTTTCTTGCTCAGTTTCACTGGTTCCTTGAGCAAATGCTCAGATGGCCCCTTGTTTCGCTCCTGAAGAGTAATGTAACTTTGCTCTTTCCATCCAAGACATCATATTGACTCGTCATAGCTATACAAACATTCCACAAACTCTTGCCAGCTACCATCTATCTCTGCCCAAAGTACATTTTATTGAAATTTTCTCAATTTTTGGATTTTCCAATAGTAGAACAGAAAAATTATTTTAAGAGCATTAAAACCTTGTTCTAAATTACAATTTGGAGCTGTTTTAAAGAAAACGGAGCTAAAGAACTACTGTAAATTGGATCTTTGAAGCTCAAAAGTTTTGAGTTTTGGAAAAACTTAATTTGAAACACTTTAATTCACAAGTACAATAGTGGTTACAAATTTCTGGAAACGTGCCTAAAAACATCATGAAAGATCTTTCAAAATAATTACATTTGTGTAATTTTTGAAAAAACAACAAATACCACGAAATGAACCTTATGCCATATTAAAGAGTGCAATTACCACTAACGGTTTGAAAACTTTGAAGAAACTAGTGGTGATTTAGAATGGCACAGACTTTGCCTAGTTTTCTATTTCCTTTGGTTTCAGGTAGCTATTTGGACCCTCTACATACAGCATGAATAATTGACATGTGGTTCCTGTGATTTTTTGATAGACAATTCTAGGCATGTCAACAGCTAAGGTCATTAGACCCATCATTTAAGTAGTGCATGTTTTTATTGTGGGAGGCAGTGGTTATCTTTTGCTGCTGGATGGTGAGATTCGGCATTTACTTGATGGGAGTAACTACAGAAAACTACCGATCAAAGCAGCCAAATGCATAGAATTCCACTTCAGATAGCAGCTGACATCGACTCAGCTATGTAGGTAGGGCTGAAAATCCTGCAGCTGTCGGGATATGAACCCTAGGATCTCCCAGTCATAGGCACTGCAGTAACATTAATTGATGCCCTGAACCACTGAAGTTGGTTGCTTCCTCTGCATGCGTGATGTCAAACCAAGAATCTACAAGGTTTATGCTCTCACAGATCTGAACTTGCATTCTTTATTTGTATTATTATGCTCTTGGCAGCTATTTGTGTTTCACTCTTGAGGAATTGAACATACATAGAATGTATAGAATGTTGAAGGAAAGATAATTACCTCCTATACGTTAAACATTTTATAGAAAAATATTTCACTCTGAAATTACACATTTTTCAGATTTCTATATTATGAGGCAACAACTGATAAGAGATTGAAAATAGAGCATATTTTTCATTACAGGGATGTTTTTATCTAGAGTGCAATTGTAACATAGTCTTAATAAACTCAAAATCCTAAGCAGAAAGTCCAAGACTGGATTCATATATTAAAATCTGCTCAAGTGCAGATCTTATTCTCAGGATTCAGTGTCATTCAGAATTTTTACATTAGATATTTTGCACTAGTTTTAAAATATAATTTATTTTAGTGTATTCTAATTAGATTTGTTTGTCCTTTGTGCAATGTAACAATTTATGAAAGATGTTACCACATTATTTAATCATTAAAGTACCTATTGTAGTAGTAATGAGTTTTTGCTTTTAAAAATTCATTTAACACAAAATGTATCTCTGTGATATTTATCATTCTTGTAACTCTTCAGATCATCATGTCCTCTTGTTCACATTTAAAACATACTCACAACACTAACGTAACAATTAAACACAAGGAAAAACTGAGCTCTTGGATCTGTGAGTTAATAAAACTCAGCTTCTGGTCATACTTTGTACCACACATATCAATTTCAGTTCATGAAATTTATGTCTACTGTATGGTAAACAGGTAAGAAAAATTGGAACTGCAAAGTGTAGTGTATCATTTTCAATGGCACTGACATAAGAGGGTACACTACCCTGCACAACCCTCTTCAAATTACCCTACAACTTTAAACTACAAATATCCTTCTTACTTAGCTACAGCAGAAAGGAAATTAATCTCAAAACAGTACAAATATGTAAATTTATTTGTTTACAACATTCAATTACAAACATTACAACACAACTAAATTAGGGAATTCCACCCTCTAAGACTGGAATGGTTAGTAATACGCAAAAATGGAAGTTTCTGATAGGAAATCTCACAAATAATGCACAAAAATTGCATTATTTTATCTTAATACTTCACTACTGTTCCTATAGTATTAAATATAAAACACACCTTTCCAACTTTTCAAATTTGAAAGTCCAATATTTTCAAACAAATTGGAAAACAAAATCAGGTTTAACAAGTACTGTGACATTTCATTAATACATGAACTAAATGTTCTATCTGTACACGGAAAAGTTAATGTTTTTCAAAGGCTACAAATAAATACTATTTTATGACAATCTTATGTATATTAACTTTAAATTTTATATTTGTGAGAGCCTTTCAATTTTTTAAAGTATACCTATTTAATATTATTACAACTATTTGTACACATTTATTATATCTCTAGAGTATGTACAAAGTACAAAATGTTTGCATGGGTGCTCCATTGCAGCCCACTAGCAGGCCAGCAGCTCAGCACCAGGGCATGGCTGCAGGAAGCGCAGGGGCTACCTGGGCTGACGCCGTCCGCCTGTGTCACCCGCACCAACTGCAAAGCACACAAAACAGCTGTAAAAGCATGGCACAACGTCATTTCAAGTGATGAGAACCAATGTGGAATGAGTCAAATTTATCTCTTCTTTAAAAAGAAATAATTTAAAAATATTGTTTATGCAAAAATTCACAAATGCACATATTCTAGAAAACCACCTTCTGTTGAGTCACAGAGGAGTAACCATGTTGCCCCCATCTGCCAGACCAATATTTGATGTAACAGTCAGACTGTAATGGACATCAAGGAAGGAAGAAGGAAATTTTGGATCTCATGTCAAAAATCTTTGTGGAAACTTCACCAACAATACCAACTACAACAAACTACCCATGTTTTCTTCTCTATCATAAAATCTGATTTTGTTGAATGATTTCAGTCTGCCTTATGAATTTTTTATAACAATGATTTGTACTGGAAGTAGAGATGGAAAACATGAGATAAATTAATAATGTGATACATTATTTAAAATTAAAAAATGAAAAATAATTAAGAAATTTGATATATAGTACAACATAATTCAACTTGAATAAGGCTAAGAATTCCAGAGCTCTAGAAAATGTCCACAGATGGCACTTAACCACCACCCAGTTTCTAATAGTTTCTGATGTTGGATAAGAAAGTGTGAATACGTGGTTTGATAACTTCTCTGTGATTGGTGAAGAATCTGTATCACAGTGAGTACCATTATGCATCTGGTTGCAGCCATCAAATAAGAGAATTATACAACGGTAGTACAAAAACAATGAATAAAAGGCGTTTGTTACCTGACGAGGCGTCTGCGTTGGCGCTGGCGCGGCGCACGGGGCGGGTGAGGCCCAGGCGGCGCCCGCGAGGCGCCTTGGAGCGAGCGCGTGCGCTGGAGGAGGAGGATGAGGAGGCGGCGGGGGCGGGGGGAGAGTCCGGAACGGGGTCGGGTCGCGCGCCACGCGCGAGGGCGGGGGCGCTGGCGCCAAGTTGAGGCACGCTCTCCACCATGAGGTCGCGTAACGCCGGACGAGATGAGCTCCGGGACGCACGTCTCCGGCCGAGGGCCTCTCTCGTCTCGAGCTGCTCTATGTCCACGTTGTTTCTCCTTGGGCGGCGAGGGCTCGTCCACGTCAGCACCTTCACACTCTCACGTCTCCTTGGAGATGTAGCCCAGCAGCGCCTTGGCCGGAGACGGCTTGGCCAGGCCAGCGGTGGGCGAGGGGCGGCCGAGGAGTGACGGAGGAACAGACGGGGGCAGCCTCGCGGCTGCGCTCCTCTATCACGAGCGCGGGCACCAACGGTGGGGTTCTGGCGTGTCGGGTCGGGGCCGGGGGCGGGGGCTGGTTTCAGGGGAGGGGCGGGGCGCGCGCGGCTTGCGGCTCGTCCGCCGGCGGGGCGTGGCCGGGGCGGCGCGCCGCTTGGGAGGCGGGCTGCGGAGCATGGGGGGCGGGGTGGGAAGCGGCGGCCGGCGCTGGCGCCGCGGGCCGGGGGTCGCTGGGTCCGGGTCGTCGGAAGCCCGCGCGGTGGGGCGCCGGGCCGGGGCCGGGGCTGGGCAGGGCGCGCGCGGAGGGGAAGGCGGGGGCCGCCGTCCGGGCGCCTTGGGTCCGCGGCGCATGCGCCTCCTGCCCTACGCCCAGCGCGGGGCCGCTTTCTTCGCTCCGGCCTCCGGCTGCCGTCTGGCGATGGGTCTGGGGCTGGGTATGTCTCGTGTTCCGAGTGTCCGGAGCTCGTGCGCGTGTGGCTTACTCTCGAGGCTGGAGCCACGAAGTTCGAGGGAAGGCGTGGTCGGGGGCGGCCCTCCCGCGGTCGGAGAAGAAGACGCAAGCTCCTCGGCGCGTCGCTGCGCGACGAGGCGTCCCCGGTGGCGAGAGCGGGGTTGGGGCCGGGTGGGCGTAGGAGCTGAGACGGTGTGGACGGGTTGTTTTGGGGGTGTGGTCCGAGGCGGAGGCATGCTGGCGTGCGCAGCTTCTTCCGCTCGCACCATGGCCTCCTCCAGACTTAGGACCATGGACTTGCGCAGGTGCATGATCTTAGCGCACTGCAAGAAATGTTTCGCTGGCGATTTGGGCTTCTTGGAGCTTTGAGCAGCAGCTTCGCCGCCGCCGTCGTCAGGGCTGGCTGTTGACCACACGAGTACTCGTCGTGGAGTCCGGCGTAGTGCAGGGCCGCTTCTTGAAGGGCAGCGGGTGTGCGGGCGCTGTTCCGCCTTCCTTCCTCGTGTCCTCGTCGTCGCGCGTCCGCGTGGGGGGGTGTGGCGCGCTGCGCCGCTCGTGTTGCGGCCCCGCCCCCAGAGCCGCTGCCGCCGCCGCCATGGGGCGGGGCGCCGGCCCTGCGAGGAAGGCGACACGCGGGGGGCAGGGCGGAGCGGGCGCGGCGGGCGTGGGCCGGCACGGCCGCTGCTGCTAGCTTGTCCGGTCGGCCGAGCGCCGGTCGTCGGAGGGCTGGCGCCTCGGCGGTGCGCCGCAGTGGTGTCCGGGGGGGGGGGGGGGCCCATCACCCTGCCTGCTGCTTGGCCTCTCGCGCCGGTTCTGCCTGCGCCGGCCCGCTTCCCGCTCCTCTTCGCCGCTCGCTGACGACGCGCCCGCGTCGCGCGACCGCTCCTTGTCGTCCCTCGATCGCTCCGCTTCGCTTTCTCCTCTTTGCTCCTGTCCTTTCGTTTCTCTTGTCGGGCTCATTACTCCTTGATACTTTCCTCCGCTGCTTGTTCTTTTCGGATCTGTCTTCCCGATTTTCGTTCTGTCGGGCGCTCTTCTCGTCCCTGGATTATCCCTGAGCGATCCTCTTTCTTGATTCTCGCTTCTCAGGCCCTATCGTCCTTTGCTCTCTTGCTTTCGGCCTTGCTTTTACTTTTGGAGTCTCTTGCTCGGGACTTGTCGTTCGAGCATATATATGCGATACGATGAGCTAGACGAATCTTGCTGATGTCAGACTATTATACGTCTCTTGCCCTTTTCTCGTTCTTATTTTTCTCTCGTGCTTGCTTTTCTCAGGATGTCTGAGGGTTTTTCTTTGTTTAGATTTATCTTTTCTTTCTTGGTTCACTTCTTACTTTATTTTTTCTTCTTCAGTTCTCATCCTTTGGTTCTTTCTGAGTCCCTTTTCTCGCTTTTTCCTTTCTACATCTCTGTCCACTTCGCTTATTCTTTTCGTCACTTTCGAATTTGTCGTCCTTCTTGTCTTTTGCTTTATAGCTGTAGACTTGGATCGACTTTTCTTGCTTTCCGTGCGTGCCGGGCCATTCCCGACTGCTGTTCTCATCGCTCTTCTCATGTTTGCTTTATCCTTATTAAGATTTTCTTGTTTTTATCATCAGATTTTGATTTTTCTTTATCCTTCTCGTCTCTCTGCTTATCTTGACATTTCTTTCTCGGACTTTTGATTTTTCTTTACTGGTTTTCTTGCCTTGTCATCGTGTCGTTTGTCTTAATTCACTCCTTTTTTCGACCTTTCCCTTTCACGCTTTCTTTATCATCCGTTTGTTTTTGTCTTTAGAATGTTCTTTATTCTTATACTCATCTGGGATTTCTTCGAAGTCTCTTTATCAGACTTTTCCTCGGCTCTTCGTTTTGTGTCTTAACTACTGTCCACGAATTCCTTTATTCCTTAGGCCCTTTCTGTTTGTCGTCGTTTTTCAACTTCTTCTGGCGGCCTCGACAATCGTCATGTCTTGGCGGAATCTTCGAGAGCGTCCCTTGTCTTTGGTCTTGTCGCCGTCGTCCCGCGGCGTCGCCTTGCTCTTGCGTCCCCTCTTGGAGGGCTTGAGGCGCCCTTGTTCCTTGTCTTTGTCGTCCTACCTTCGTGCGCCTGGAGTCGCGCTGTCGGGTGGGTGCTCGCGCTGGCGTTGCTGCGCTTCTCTGGCCTCTTGGCGCGTCGCGCTCCTTCTCTGTCCTCTGACGCTCCTCCCGCTCCGTCCCGCTATTCGTCGCCCTCGGGGGGCGCGTCGTCGGGCGCCACAAGGGCCCGTCGTCGGCGTGGCGGCGGGGGAAGCGGGGGTGGGGTGGAGGCGGGCGGGGAGGCCGGGGTGCTGGCGGGGCAGGAGTGGGGGCTGGGACGGAGGCGAGAGGGGGCGAGCCTCTATACGCGCCTCCCCCTCATGGTCGGGCGAGGGCGGCGGTGGCTGGTGGGCGGGGGCTGTGCAGGCGGGGCGGAGCGGTGGCGGTGGGGGCGGGGGGTTGGCGCCGGCGAGGCGGGGCTCCGCCTGCTCAGAGGCTGGCTGTCGTCGTTCTGCGGTCCATGTCGGAGGTGGTGAGCGGCGAGGAGCGTAGGTCCTGGTCATGCGGAGAGTCAGGAGAGGACGGCTGCTGAGGAGGAAACCTGGACAGCTGGCTGGTCCTGGGCTGGCGAGGTCGAAAGGGCGTGATGGGCGGGACGCGGCGGGGGTCGCCGTGCGGGGGCGGGGCGCGGCGGCCGCGCCGCGGGGCGCGGGACTTGGCCCGCTCCCGCCGAACGAACGGTCGGAGCTGACTGCCGTGGCTTGGTGAGGCGGAGATGCCGACAGTGTGGCTGTCCATGGAGCTCTCGTCGTAAGGAGATAGCATCGTGGTGGGGCGCAGAGGCGGGCGCGTCGATGGGCTCGAAGGGCGGCGAAGAGTCCTCCTCGTCCGCCTCCATCTCCTCGCCCCCGTCCCGCTCTCGCTCTCGCTCCCGCTCCCGCTCCTGGTCCCGCTCGCGCTCCGCCGCCAGGTGGTCATGGTCGTCGTCGTCGTCGCTGGCCACGCCCACGCTGCCGGGTGAGATGGGGTCCAGGTCCTTGGGCAGCAGGTCCTCCAGCGTCTCCATCTTGAGCGGCTTGAACGCCTTCGCCGACTGCAGTTGCAGCGACGCCACTGCGCAACACAAACGCCGTCAAAATTCCCTCCCCTTCCAGCTCTCCAACTTCGGTTTGCCAGCCAGCTTTTGCAAGGCGTAACCGTCACTTGGTGTTCCAGGCCAAACAATTAGAAATTAAAACGTGTTTTATTTACGTTTTTTCATTAAAAACTAGACTGTTTAAGTATATTCTTAGAACAATTAAACTTCTGTATAAGCCATCAGATGTTACTTGCCAAACAATGCTGGGACACCACGTTTTCAATACAATACATTGCTGAACTTTACATGAACGAATTAAACCGTTGAAACTGCGCAACACATTGACATAATTTAAAACTAAAAAACTTAATTCTATGATAATTTTTGTATTGTTTAATATTTTACATATAACTATTGTACATATCTTATCATTAAATAAGTAAAATTTACTGGCTTCTTCTAGCAGTGTAACTTTGCCTGACACTTCCGTGTTTTCCAGTTGTGCAACGGACTTGAATAAAGAACAACATATAATCACGAAACTAACACCAAAACGGCTCACTGTGAGAAAAACCAAAATTATTATTTAAAAAATAAATAAAAAATATACAACTACGTAGACACTCTTGAAAAAACTATACACTATACAATCTGACACTGAAAAATATTATTGTTCATTGGTTGTTAAAAGGATAACTTTAAAGTAACCTACAGAGCAAGTCAATAATAACACTAGGGATTTTTTTTCATACCTCCAGGATAAAAGTAGTTAACTTCAAAGGAAACAATTACACTGATTTCGAAAATCATTATAAAAAGTTTCTATCATGCAAGGTTCAAGAGATATGAATATATTAAGTATTTGAAATACACAAAATCCTACACTAATTTCTGCCCTATAACTCCAGTTACATTACTACAAACTTTTTTGAACATGCTTCATATGAAATAAGAACAAGTTAAAAATGGAATACACATATTCCTGTAATAATAAGCAGAGATTAAAATAGTTTGTTGGCATTCTCCACAACATTGGTAGAGCAGATGACAATGATTTGAGTTTTCCATGCAACCACAACCTAAGATTCGTTCTATAGGTGACACAACACTGATGAGCAGCCCATGGTTTGTCCTGATCACAAACAACCTGACAGCCAAAGTTTCAAGAATACTGAAATTTTGTAATTTCATGTATTGTTTTCCTTTTGAAATTCAGGTGTAAATCTACTAACAGAAGTTATCAGGTTGATTTGCACCTTTTTGATGTGAAATGACAATTTGCATTTTATTGAATCAATTCAATTGTACAGATCATGTAGCAAATTTTACTTTATAAAACACACAGAACTGTGATGTAATAATTATGGCTGTGGTTTATAAGCATTTGCACGTTTTTTTCTGTTAACTAAACTATCCTGTTTCAACAAATTTTATACGTTTTGAGGCATTTAGAATCAATTGAAGCAAATTTTATTTCGCATATTTTCGCAAATAACACTATAATTCCATATCTTTGCATATTTGTTGGATATAACAGGGTTTAAATAAGCACCAGTGACTTCGGTTGATGTGGAGTGGACATTCAGCTGGGTTAATGCGATTTTGAGGGCACATAGACGTTCGTTTGAATTTGAGAACTTGATAAGAATATATATATATATATATATATATATATATATATATATATATATATATATATATTCTATACACACACACACATATACATATACACAGACATACACCCATATATATGTGCAAATGTTTTATTGCATATCAGTTACACCCTAGTAATAATGTACATGAGACACATGCAAACTAGACACAAACTTCACGCACACTTATCACAGTTCTGCAAGATAATGACTCAAAATCTGCAGCTCTAGCAGTTGGAAACTTGTACTCTTGCGATAAGGTACGGGGCTAAAATAATTCCAGTCAGTGACCGATGCGCAGTAAGAAATATGATGGTTAAGTGACAAGTTTTCAAAACATTCACTAAGACCTACTTGTGATAGAGCGTGACTACCAGACACAGGAATAAAAAAGACACTGTTCGAAAACAGAAGCTCAAAGAAAATGAAAGCCAAATTTTGTTGATATCTCATGAAAGTGGCATAGATGAACTAAACAAATTCTTCGTTTTTAAATAGATTTTATGAATATTGATTCTACATATCTTACAGGTACAATTTAAATGTATTTGCATTAATAACAAAACCCAAGTGTAAACAAAGGGTCTGTTCTTCTACAAATAATAATAATAATATGATTATGATTAATACGTGCAAGCATTCATGTTAGTCTGTACACCTACAAAAGTATATTTAATCTTGATTTCTCAAACACATCCTTGGAAATACAATAATGAAAAATTGCAAAACACTTCTTGGGACAAATCAACGCATGGTTTATCAAAATATTCTATTGAAGAATTATCAAGTATAATTTCCAGAAAAACCATACAATGACTATTGAAAAACTCTGTACTGTTCTGTTTCCTGATGATTGGTTTAGCAGTGATTTATCAATGGCATTTAAAATGAAATAATTAGAGAGAATAAATACACACAAAAAATGCCTATAATTATTTCATTCCCGGAAGATACTGAAAACTGAATATCCCTATGATCATTTAAAGAATGACATTAAATTAAACACAAGAATGAATTGCCAATTGATGTTCTAAATGGGCATACGAATGCTCATTAGAAGAATGACAGTAGCTATTGTTAGTGTAAATGACTAATATCAATATATACATGTATTAAAATGATTTCAACAATTACAATATATTCATAATCCATACAGAAAGAGGAGGATAAATACATCTTGAATGTAATGGCAAAAAAAAATGCAGAATTCAAAAAAAATCAGCCACCCCAAAACCTCTTGTGTTCAAGAATGTTTTTCCTAAAAACATTGTGTCTAAAAACACAGAGCAAAAGCACTGAAGCCTCTCTCTGTAATCTTCAAGTCTTTAATGAGTGCTTAATTTGTAACAAAATAAGTTAGGGAAGAAATAAGGATCTCACAAGGAAAGAAGTAAGATATCTAAATTCACATTACTTTCTATCTAAAGCCACATACTTTCATGCTCTTGAATAATCTGCACAATTATCTGTAATTTACCTTGTTATAAGTTACATGATTTATATGTCATTTGTGAAATAATTTAATTGAATAAAAAATATTAGATAGTTAAATTTTCCTTGCTAAAAAAAGAATGCAACTGACTACATTAGATACCATTAAGAAGGCAAACTCAATACCATTACTAACTTATGATTTGATTTCCTTGCTCTTTATTAGTAGCCTGCAAGAAAAATGTTGGGGATTTAGAAAATGCTAAGCAAGTTCATTACGAAATAATCAATACTATAAATCAAAAAACATCAACTGTATTTGGGTAAGAGAGGTTATACTGTAATTGAATTGATAGAACACATGAATAATGTCCTTCATTCCAGTAAGGAACTTCTAAGCTCCTAGATGTCTTCGCCATGCATGCAGAAACGGAATGAATCCATGAGAAAGAAATTCTGAAAGCACTATCTTATGAGACAGAACACTTCTAACTGTAGCACAAGGAAATGTACAAATAGAAAGATGAAGGTCATGAAGTGGCAAACAATGACTAAAAACATCGGCATGTGTTCCATAGAGACTGACAGGATTGTGTCCAGGGGTCTTTTAACAAAAGTAAATTTCAAAAACGGAATTCTTGCATACAAAACTTTTAACGACTCACTGATGGCGAACAAAGATACAAACTTAATGTTTACGATTGATGCCTAAATATGCCATAAAAAAATTGGAGTGATAATTTGTTGGATTGAAAAATACAGTAGCAATGTACAAACTGATTCAGCCACAAATTTTGATGGCTTTTCGTACAATAAAATTTACGAAGACAAAAAAATTCACACAAAATACTCAGCTGGAGTTATGGAAAACTTGATGTCTCAGTTATTGCGCATTTGTTTAAAGAGTCAAATTAAAACACCAAGATCTGTTAAAAATCTTGCAAAGTTATTAATAATTGAACACTGCTAATTATTAACAAGTTTTTTTGATGTATGTACAGTATTGATATTATTTTTGACACACTCAGTCACATTCGCAGTGCCATTAGGACACTTTCAAAATTAAAGCTGAATAATAACTATTTACGAAGTACAAAGGCACAAGAGCATATGAGTAATTTAAGTATTTTGTGAACTGAGCATGAAAAACTTATGTGGATTAAAATCATATTTCTACACTGATAAATTTAAATTTGTAAATGCAAGGAAAAGACCAAAATCTAAATTTGAACTTATATGAAGAAATTGCAAAAATTATAATTTATTTTTCATAATAAACGTTTTCACTCTTAAAATTCAGTTTTATAATCACCAAATTAAATTAAAAACATGTCTTTAATTAGGGGGCCCTCGTATTGTGTCAAAGGGCCTTCTCTGTTTAACTTATGCCTTTGGCTAAAAATCATAGTGAGAACCAACAATGCTGTTAAAAAACTGTTCAAATCTCAGAATCAATTTGTTTTAGTATGTACACACATTCCACATTCTGTAGCAACTTTTACCATCTACTTGAAAAGTACATCTCTAATTTTAACCACTGTGGATAGTGAATTATCAAAAGCAATACAATAAATGCCTTGAAAATGATTTACTACACAGCTGCAGAGTGTGGTGGATTTATTTGGGAATTTCCATCACACTAGTAATCTAGCCCTTAGGATTATTGCATCGAACACATTTTAACTTCATACTAATTTTCCGGAGGTTACCTTCACAATAATTTACAGGGATGGGAATTAGAAGAATGGTTCAACGAGGTGATACAATACAGTGTACCTGTACAATTCTATTCAATTTAATTTAATGTGGTGAGGTTCAGGCCACCAGGCCTACTCTAGTGCCTAACCATGCATATTTCACTACGCTCCTTCCGTCATCTAGCAGCGAAAGAAAGTATTGTTGGGTAATTTGAATTAAGGTCAGAGGCTTTTAGGCTTGAGGATCTATATGCAGTAAATCTATATCATGGTACATCCATCTTTACTTCACCTCTAAAAGCATCCTATGGATTATTACATCCTAAAAATCTACAGCTCTGATTAGATTTGAATCTGCGAACTCTTGTATAACATAATTAAAGATGTCATTGCCAACAATGTTTTTTAATTCAAAAGCAGCTTTCGATGGCTTAGCCATCATCATCAGTTGTCTGCTAGATGGAAGCCACAAAACGACTAGTCGCTTTGAATTAAAAAACATTGTTGGCAATGACAACATCTTTAATTATATTAAAAATGCCAAAGATATCCTACCACAACACCTATCTTGTATAACAGTTCAATCTTTTAACCAGTACATCCACTGAAGAAGGAAATGGTGTACTGGGACTGCAAACACAACCATAATTCCTCTGAAAACATTCCATCTTTGAAGTGAGATTCGAACCCAGAGCCTTGGTGCAATGCATACTTGGGAACAATGCCCTACATCCACCACGCTAGCCTCTGTCCTTCAGGTGATATGATAAATCAAAGAAGCTCTTGCAATAAATATACTGGAATGACAATTGTGTCCTGTTGCCTACAGCAGGAGAAATTCTTAAATGTTATAAAAAGTAGTATAAATAGGATTTTATGGCAGGGGAGGGAGTGGTGGAGAAGGGAAGGCGATAAACATCTAAACCTGACTCTAAATTGAACTAAAGATGAAAATAAATGTTCAAGATTTATTCTGAAAGACCACAACGTGGATCATATTACAAGTAAAATGTGATCAATATGCAAAGACATGCAAGTTTTCCATAAATTTATGAAAAAACTAGTAGACCTAGCAATGCTTCGCTATTGCAGTGTATTACCATCACAAACTACTGGTCACATGGTGATTGTTAATCACATTTTATGCTATGCTGTGCAAATATTTTAATAGATAAAAGAATTTCTCGCAAGTATGGGTTTTATATGACCTGGTTTGTACATGATTGCCAAGTATTCTATAGTTAAAAATATCCCTCAAATTTGGGTATGCGATTAATATGACACTATCTTGGAAATTTGATTTACTTATCCGAGACCTATATAATAATTCTAGCTGATATTTCGTAATCACAGGGGCAGAATACTTTAATGCACTGAAGACGCACTTAATCCCTGACTGTGCAAGTTGGAGTTCAGGGGTGCTCGAGTTGTCATAAATGAATAAATCAAAAACGATCCCACATGTCCAATTTAATTCAAACCACTCTTTGAACACTTCCATTACTAAAAATGAAAATTTCAGCGAAATTAGTCAAGTAGTTTTTGGGTCTACATGCATTTCCTTTTATTTATATACAGTTGTACTGTACCTGGAAATTTTGACAAATGTAAATAATCAAATAGGCTCCACTTCAAATAACCTATTTCATACACTTATGATAAATATTTGATCCAAAAAATATGTAATTGCACGAAAATCCTACCCTGGGTGCACCAGTGAATCTTAATTGATTCACTTTTCACAATTGGTAGAATCATATCTATTCAACTGAATTCACAGGTGAACGTTAATTATTGCTAATACAAATAAAGAATTTTCAGGCATTTGCATTGATGTTTTGGTTGAAGTATAACATCATGGAACAACTTAAGGAAGTCATTTAAACAGGCCCTTCATGCCACTCTGGCGAGGGGGAAACCCACGGTGGAGGGGTGTTTAGGGGTTTATGAGGGGAATCTTTCAGTGGGTAGGGGTAGTGAGCAATGTACATAATTTAGTACATACTTATAACAAGTGTGAGCATTGTAAATAAATTGTAAAAATTGCACCACTGACATAATTTTAATGTTTCATAATTGGTCACGAATGCGATGTCGTAAGTTAGGGGAAGTAATTTCACCCTATTATTTTGTCAGAGCTCCATTATCAAATAGTGCTGTGACCATAGTGATATGCTCATGTGATTTTGTGGGTCAGATTACCTGTCGAAGTGGTTAGCTATGTGTCTTTTAGTTATGTTTCTTGCACACTTATGATTTTTCTTTCTTTCTTTCTTTCTTTGAGTATTTTGCTACGATGGTGAAAATAAACGTGTTTTATAACATGTATCACTGAAAGGGGTGTTTGGTTGTGATTGAGTGGATGCAAGAACAAAGTTTGACTGCTGCCGGATTTTCAGGTCCTATCTGTAAGGGTCAGATGAGATTTTCCCAAACGAAAGAAGTTGTGTGCTAGATTTGAGTGGAAGGGAAGGGGCCACTCTTCATACGCTTAAATATTCTGTGTGGAAGTAATCAAATTAGAGATTTGTTTTGTTCCTCCAAACTTTATGACACAAAAAAGTTGCCTACCAGAAAATTTTATGCATTTCTATGCAGAGCGCTTAGTACAATTTGAGGGAGGACTTTAGGATACTCCCCTCCTCAACTCCCCCTCACTGTCCCTTTCCCCACTTCTCTAAGAGTATACTGTGTACTCTAATTTAAATAATTTTTCTTACCATTTTGAGAAAACTTCTTTTTCGGTTTTTCAAGACCTAGGAAATTATAAACCACATCTTCAATTTGTGGAAGCAAAACAGTCAATATCTTTGGATTAACAACTTGGTCCACAATCCGTTCGACACCAAGATCTAGGAATCCAGACCTAAACAAAACAACACAACATTTTTTGACAGGCGTTCATGTACATTTACCATGTTTATACGCACGAAACCTGTATATATTTACAACAGACATTTAATCACAATTTATTCTATTCAGCATCAAAAAAATTTTCTCTAGTGTATATTAGCTAAATACATCTAAACGAAATTTCGGTTTTACTCACTCGTGTATATGCTTTCTCAGGCTATCTCTCAATTGGTTCTTGTTCATTTCCTGACGCCATTCCTGAGTAGCCAGAAAACTGGCAACTGTTCCTTCAACTCTTTGATGAAGGTTTTGATATGCAGGCTGTGCAACAAACATATAAAGGAATCAAAAACACACAAACCTCAAATTAATTTTCACTATCATATGTACAAGATTATTTTATGGCATAACTTGCGACAAATACCCCATTTCTATTAGATACAAATGAGCATTTACTTCAGTCAACTGATATATGAAAGCAAAAAAAAATATTACATTAAACATTTGTTATTTTTGGGCATGAAGCATAATCTCGGATAATCCACACTTCCAAAATAAAGAAATGTTATAGTCTTCTGAAAAAGAATGAACAGATGTCTCACAATGAATATGTTTTTGACTCAATAACATAAACAAAAAAGGCAACAATGTAATATTAAAAAGTAAGCTACAACTCACATGAATTCATCAAGTGTACAATTCAAAATGAAATTTCTTAAAATTCTTTAACAGATATCCTTGATAAATCCATATTTAATTTAGAGAGCTTTTATAAATTAATCTCCTCATGAAATTAATGCAAAATATCCAAAAGATAGATTTAGACCCACTTACATAGTATTATTCTAATAAATTTAAAAAAATGAATATACATTTCAAATCATATATTTTAATTTTTAATAAATTAATCTGCGTTTTAGTTAATAAATTAATTTAAGTTTTACACACAACACTGCTCCAGCCTTTAATGACAGTTTGGCATAAGTCTAATGTTATCTCATTTGCAAAATCTAAAAATTTCAAGACAGGGAAAAAGTACAGAAAAGTTAGAAACACTTTTTTATAAATTCAACAAAAATTTTAAATGTGGTTTTTATAGAACAGCATTTACATATATTACATTCCATTGTCCCTTAAATAACTTCTTTATAGCAACAGAAAAAACCTTCTAATTAATACAAATAACTGTGATTTGCCAAAATGCTTTAAACATTGAATAGAACTGAAATATTAAAAGCCATAAATAATATGCAACAATCTATTCAAAAAACATGAATTAACATTAACCAAAAATGATAAACAAAGAAAAATAAGAGGTGTGTTTACATATAGTAGACGAGGTACTTTTCCATTTACTAATTTCTTAAAAATGTCTCTTGCAGTCATAATTACCTTTGTGTCAACATCTGCTATACATTCCTTTCGAAATCTGTCAAAAATACCTTGCGATTTCAATTGACAAACTATTTTGTCTACAAGTCTGGGATCGCCGGGGGGGAAATTCATCATTGAACTATCCATCTTACAGTCAACACTAATAACATCGAATACTAATCGTCAATAACAAAGCCGATAAAAGATCACTCCATTAAATCAAATAACGTGTTATACAATTCAATTCCATCACTGCACAGTTATCAACAATAAACAGCATCAATCACGAACATACACGAATCGCTCTTCGAATACGCTTCACATTCACCACAGCAGAGTGTGTCGTTCAAGGCATCAACAAAAGAATCGTTCAGAATCACTCACAAAGGTGATAGACTGTACCACTGCATGCACGATGTAAGATATTTCTTACATGGTGTAAGATAGTTCTTACACCATATCGCATGAGGATATCTCTCGCGCAACTTTCAATTGTTGATAAAGTAGATCACTTTGACGAATATCACTTTAGATTGCACAAACTGTGTGACCATCTGTCTGATCAAAAGCCTTGTGCCATGAGATATTTATAATGTTCAAGCAACAATGTAAGAAATATTTATTACACCATGGTTTATGCACCAGATACTTTTACTTTCTCGCTACTACATATGAAGTATAGTCTATAAATACGTATATTGTGTTATACAGAAAGTATTGTAATTTTTGGGGGGACAGCGAATTTTCGGCAGAAAAAATATTATTGTCAGGCCCATGCTTCGAAAAACTGGATACATACTGTTCCGTAGTAAAACTGGATAAATATAGTTCCGTTCCTTTCCGTAGTAAATTACTTCCTTCAACACGGGTTATAGTCACAATTTACTTTTGGTGGGCCTTGATAACGAAAAATCGATTGACGGCAAAACGTCTCTTAGTCTGTCAGTGAACAACGCTAGCGGCCAAAGCACAAGTAGGATTTTCACCAAAATTGACATGCCCCGGCCTCTTGAATTTGAAACGGATGTTTTGATTTTTATGTACTTTACATGAAGCCTCAATAACATTTTCAATTGTTTTTCAAAAATGGCTATTTTTTTCTTTAATCCTCCCTCCAATAGATTAAAAGGCGCATAAAGAAATAGGTAGCAATGTTTATTGCACTTCATGAATTTTCAAAAATTGCAAACATTCAACATTTTTGGCGTTTTGCAACAACTTCAATTAAGATGACAATTTTTTCCCTTAATGAAATATGTTTATAAAGAACACGTATTTAAATAACGTCAAGTTCAAGTTTAAGAAATTTTTTGCGTCGAACATAGGCAAATTAAAAATGTTAAACAATTATTTTCTCAAAAAAGGCTCCAATTTTTTTTTTTTCAAACCTGAAGCAAAGAATGACAAAGAAAGTTGTGCTGGGCCTATTTTCGACGACTCTTTGTGTGTATATATATTTATATATATATATATATATTTATATATATATATATATTTATAACCGTACTGAGCATTCAAAAAATTATTATATAATATATATATTAGTGATAGTATATATATAATATAGTATAGTATTTGTTATATTCAATATGTATTTATATATATTATATATAGTTAGTATTAGTAATAGGTATATAAGATAAATGTATGATATATAATCATTATAAAGTATATGAGAATATACTATATTATATAATAATAGTAAATTATATAAAAGTATATATACTATTATAAATAGTATATATATTATAATATATATACTTATAATAAGATATATGTATAATTAAAGTTATATTTATAATATATAAATATATTATATATATAAATATTATAGTAGTGTATATATATATTATATAGTTATAAAATTATTTAATTATTATATATAAATATATATATATATTAAATAAGGTATATATATAGTTATAAAGATATATAGTATATTAATTATATAATATATAGTATTATATAGTATTATAGTATAGTAAATATATATGATAAATAATTATATATATATATATAATATAATAGTGATAGTAGTATAAGTTATATTATATATAAATATAATATATATATAAAATTAGTATTTATATATTATAATATTATATAGTCTAGTATTTAGTCAAATGGTATATATTAGTATGTAGTATATTATATAATATATATATAAAATTATAGTTATTATAGTAGTATAAATTATATTACTTTATATATATATTATATCATTAAGGTTATATATTATATAGTATAATATACTAATATAATAATGATAAATTATAATATTTATTTATTATATATAATAGTATGATAGTATATAATAAATAGTAAGTATAATTATATATAAGATAGTATGAGTGAATATATAAATATAATTATATTATATATAAATATTATATTTATGTATTATATATAATAAATACTATTATAATATAAATTATATATATTATATAATATTAAATTATATATATGGTATAGTATAGAAATATTATTAATTAAATATATTAAAAATTATTACTATATTATAGTATATGAATAGTATAATATATAGTATAAATGATTATAGAATAGAATCATATATATCATATTAAATATTTTATATATATATATAAAGTATATATTATATATATAAATATAATATATATATAGAAATATTATTATAGTAATTATATAAATTATAAATATTAATACACACAAAGATCTGTCGTGAAAATAGCCCTAAGCACAATAGTAGGTTATTCTTTTTTACTATTCATTTGCTTCAGGTTTGAGAGAAAAATAATAATGGAGTCACAGTTTGTGAGAGAATAATGATATAGTTGTTACAACTATATATGTTATAGGTGTCGCTCTCACTGTCTTCGACGTCAAAATATTTAACGTAACTGAATCTTGACGATTATTATTTTAAATATCGTTGTGAGATTAAGGAGTATCCACGTATTAAGATATTGAGACCTGTGAGTGATGATTATGATGTGATAACGATTGGGAGTAATATGTGCGTAATAACAAATGCGTGGATGAATAAGGTTATAGAAATAACTTTAAAAAAGAATACCGGGTTCCTGTTTTGTAAAAAACATTAAATGATTGTGTTGAGCATGAAAGAACAGATGGATCGCTGGGTCATGGTCTGATATATATATCCAATTTGTATAAAGAAGAATTATGAGAATTACAATTTATTCTATAAATATCGTTAAAGTTAGAGTATGGCATAGTATATCTGCGCTATAGAAATAGTATAAGTAAATGTGATCAATTATGTGAGAATTCCATATTAAGAGGTGTCAGATTATATCATACTATCTATGTTCCGTGTATGCTTATGCGTCCTTGTTGTAATCTATTGAGAGATTAAAGAAAAGAAAAATAGCCATTTTGAAAAAACCAATTGAAAATGTTATTGTAGGCTTCATGTAAAGTATCATAAACATCAAAACATCCGTTCTCCCAAATTCAAGAGGCCGCGAGTGCATGTCAATTTTGGGTGTTGAAAATTCCTAACTGTGCTTTGGGCCGCTAGCGTTAGGTTCACTGACTAGACTAAGAGACGTTTTGCCCTGTATTTGGCGTTCATTATGCGATTTTTCGTTATCATAGCCCCACCAAAAGTAAATTGTGACTATAACCCGTGTTGAAAGGCGAGAGTAATTTACGGAAAGGAACGGGAACTTATATTATCCAGTTTTACTACGAAAACAGTATGCTATTTTCAGTTTTTCTGAAGCATGGGTGCGCTAGACAATAATATTTTTTTCTGCCGAAAATTCGCAGGTGTCCCCCCAAAAATTACAATTGAGCGTGTCTGTATAACACAATTATACGTATGTAAGACAATACTTCATATGCTTAGCTAGCGAGAAAGTAAAGTATCTGTTGCCATATAACCAGGGTATATAAATATTTGGCTTACATTGGGTTGCGTTTGAACTATTATAAATATCTCATGGCACAAGTCTTTTCTATCAGACAGATGGTCACACAGTTGTGCAATCTAAAGTGTGATATTCGTCAATATATATCTATCTATTTATCAACAATTGAAAGTTGCTCGAGAGATTACCTCATGGCGATATGGGTGGTAAGAACTATTTCTTTATACACCATGTAAGAAACTCATCTTACATCGTGTCATCAGTGGTAAACAGTCTAATCACCTTTGTGTGCATGATTACTGCAACGATTCTTTTGTTGATGACCTTTGCAATCGACACACTTCTGCTGTGGTGAATGTGAAGCGTAATTCGAAAGCGATTCGGTTGTATGTTCGTGTATTGATTGCTCTATTGTGTTGATAACTGTCAGTGAGGTGGTAATGGAATTGTATTAACACTTTTTTTATTTGAGTTTATATGAGTGATCTCTTTATCGGCATTTGTTATTGACGATTAGTATTCGGATTTATTAGTGTTAGACTGTAAGATGGATAGTTCAATGAGAATTGTCCTCCCCCGGCAGATCCCAGACTTGTAGACAAAAATAGTTTGTCCAATTGAATCGCAAAGGGTAAATTTTTGACAAGATTTCGAAAGGAATGTCTATAGCAGACTGTTGACACCAAAAGGTAATTATGACTTGCAAGAGACTTTTTAAAGTAAATTTAGTAAATGAAAAGTACTCTCGTCTACTATATGTAAAACACAACCTCCTTATTTTTTCTTTGTTTATTCAATTTTTGGTTAATTTATAAATTCTGTTTTGATATGAATTGTTTGCATATTATTTTATGGCCTTTATTAATATTTCAGTTCTATCAATGTTTAAAGTTCATTTTGGCAATATTCACAGTTAATTTGTATTAATTAGAATGTTTTTCTGTTGACCTTATAAAGAAGTTATTTAAGAGACAATGAGAAGTTAATATATGTAAATAGCTGTTCTATAAAAACCACATTTAAATTTATTGTTGAATTATAAAAAAAGTTGTTTCAACTTTTCTGATACTTTTCAACCTGTCATTGAAATTTTAGATTTTGGCAAATGAAGATAACTATTTGTACTTAGCCAAACTGTCATTAAAGGCTGGGAGCAGTGTGTGTGATGTAAAACTTAAATATTAATTTATTAACTAAAACGCAGAATTAATTTTATTAAAAATAAAAATATATATGATTTGAAATGATATATTCATTTTTTTGTAAATTTATATAGAATTAATATACTATGTAACGTGTGGTCGAGAAAGCTATCTTTTGGACTATTTTTGCATTAATTTCATGAGAGAAGATTAATTTTTTTATAAAAGCTCTTCCTAGAAGTTAAAATATGGATTTATCAAAGGATATCGTTAAAGAAGTTTTAAGAAATTTCATTTTTGATTGTACACTGATGGAATTCATGTGAGTTGTAGCTTACTTTTTAA